CTGGCTCTGCAGACTTGCTCTTTTAACTGTTGAGGAACTCGAAAGAGAGGGGTCCAAATTAATTATTCCATCAGGGAGATATTTCTGTCTGTCTGTCTTTCTTTCTCTTCCCTCTTCTCTCTTTTAATTGGGATTTAATGAAAAATACACATTTGCAATGGGATGATGAATGTACGACACCTCTGTAAAAGGAAAGATAATACGTCCAAGGTAGGGAATAACTGCCCATACAGAGCTAAAGATGGGTTTATTTACACATACACACGCGCACACATGCGTGCACTCGCATCCTACACCGTATTTATACATATGCACATATGCCCCACATGCACACAGTCACACACAACATAACACACTTTATTTGGTGGCCACGGTGCAATTGCTTGGAGAAATTAACAAAGTAAAAAGCAAAGCCTTAATATCAACTGTAAACAGCCTTATCAAAATTAAGTAAATATCATTTTTTTTTGGAAAGAGGCTTCTTTGCATACAATACAGATTTAATGCATGTACACGCATGGTCTTCCACCTTCCCAACAAGTATTGATATTTTATTAATATTTTATCTACCATACTTTACCAGACACATTTAATTCTTGGGGGGCGGGGGGGAATTATTGTGATGAAAACTGAGGTAAAATGTACAGATGTCATTATAAATCAGAATCTTCTACAAATATTTTCCTGTGTGGGATTTAAGAAGATTGCTTCTCATTTGAAAATCTAATTAACTTAACCTAATACTGCAGATATGAATATGACTGACACTTTCATTAAAAGATAATTAACTAAAACTAGGAATAGACATACTTTAAAATACCCCCTACTGAAGATAAAAACATGACTATTGAAGAGCATCCGAATACACCGCAGGAACACGTGCAGATTTTTGATAATGCTATTCCAGAAATGCGTATATCAGAAATGGTCACCAAGTCACAGTTACATGCGAGACATATTTACAGTACCAAGGACCCCGCGCAGGTGAACTGTAACCTGAGAGCTGACATGCCTTTGAAGATCGTGATTCCGGCGATACACGTCAAAACCTTGTCTTGGGCCTTAAACACCAAAAACCAGCGGTAAGGTTTTATAACAACCTCCCATTAAAAGCCCGCGCGCACCACAACAACAAACCAGCAAAAACCTGGATGGCAGGAATATGCACCTCTCTGGGCCCTAAACCTGCTACTCCAGGAGAACACTTTGCAAGTACTGGAACTAACGTAGGAAAATCCCCACCTGATGATGAATTAAAGCCGCCCTCAAGCAGGCACAGGCCAGTGTTAGGGAACCGAGTTGCTAAAAGCAGATGTTTAAGGTCAGAGTGAAGGTCCTGATGGTTTTGGGGGGGGGGGGGAAGAAAAAAAAAAAGAAGTCTTCAGAAAGGGGAGGGAGAAAAAGACAAAAAACACCGCCAGCCTGAAAGCACGGCTATTCCAAGAGCCTGCCAATAAAGGGGGGAACGTAGAAGGAGCCCTACCCCAATCCGGAGAAACCTGACTTCAAACTTCAGGAAAATCTCCAAGACTCGAACTTAAGGAAAAGTCAGGGGAGCTCGAGGGTTGGTGAGAGCAACTTTATTCCTTTGTCAGACCTCACCTAAGCATTGCACCAGCTCGTCAATGCAAAAAATGCGAGCATATGTATGCAGATTTCCATAGGCATCGCTCCCTGTGAGTGAAGGCAAGAAGGAAACCAGTGATATTCTGCAGCGTTGTTTACAGGGTGGGAAAAAAAAATGCAAACAAAGAGTGAAAATGAAATCTCTGAAACCCGTTTACAGTTATCAGGTTGAGGGGATATGATGGAAAGAGGGCTTTTAGGCTTAAATTGTAGACGAAGGGGGACTCTGAGATAGAAGGATGCATTGTCCATTCAAGTGCACGCCTGAAGGATGGTAACACATTTCCTAAGACTGAAGACAATTAAATACAATGTGATGAAGAAACACCTGAGAACAATACATCTATTTCAAATTCAAGTGGAGAAACACGTATACTTAATGTCACAGAAGAATAAGGAAACGAAGATAATTTAGTTTAAAAGTCGTCCCCCCCGCACCTCCCCCAGCACCTCCTTTATTCCTGGTGCTTTTTTCCTGGTGAAACATCAATATCATTAATGTCATTAATGTCAAAACACCAAACGTCAGAACAGTCAAGTCATTCTTTTTTGGCTGTAGATTTTTTTTTTCCCCCTTTCTCTCTTCTTGGAGGGGAATATAGGTTTATGGTGTTCTTGAGTTACAGCTAAAGGAACAAAGCGGGGGGGGGGGGGGGGTGAGGGGGGGGGTTTGTTTTTTTTGAGATTCCTCATTTTTCAGGGTTTCTTCTGCTACTGTTTACTGTCCTTCCTAAGGTTTTAAATCTCCTCTCTCTTTCTCTCCCTCTCCCTTTCTCTCTCCCTAAAAATAGTAGCTATCGGGGAGGGAGGTGTGTGTGTGTGTGGGGTCATAAGGAAAAAAAAAAGGCACTACGGGATGTTAACAGTGTAGAAGAAACCCGGGGATCGCCACGTAGCTCCCGGCCCGGCTCCCGGTCCCCTCTCTCCTCCCTCTCTCGCTCAGCTGATCGCCCCCGAAGGCTCTCGCCTAACCTCTCAACTCCTCTCCTCCGGTCTCAGCGGACCCCCCGCCCACCTCCTCCGAACTTCTTCTGCAGGCACCGTTACGCGTTTTGGGATTTTTTTCCGAGCCTCCTGTTGAAACCACAAAGAGCTCTGGACAGTCACGTTACTTTCCAAAGAGAGGGGAAGGGGGGTGGAGGGGTGGAATTAGAACCCCCCCTCAGCCTTCTCTGTCCTTCTGCCACCTCCAGCCTCAGCCCCAAGGAAAACATCTTGGCCTGGGCGAGACGCAGCTGGTGGGGGACAGAGCCCGAGACTGACCATTCCTTAATAGACAAAGAAATCCCAGCCCAAACCGAGCCCCGTTGCACCACGTCTCTCCGCCAAGCTCATTTCGCTCCCTAAATCTGCGCTGCGGACACACAGGGGCACAGGGATCTGCATAATTACAGCCACAGCCGCTCCCCTTTTTAATAAACCGACATAATTCCCTAATAAATGTCCCCTTCCCCCACCTTCTCCTCTCGCCAGACCCCAACCCAAGGGAAAGGGGATCCGTGTCTTTTTACTGCGTTCCCTAAGTCTGTAGATGAGCTTAGTTTGAAACGAGGTATTACAAGATTTCAGTGTTACAGACCCTTTATCTGAGCTACAGACACTTTCAGATCCCCAGCCCCCACCTCCTCTCCTTTTTGTTGTCTCTTCTCCTCCCGGGGGCTATTTGACAAAGGCAGTGTGTTAACTAACATTTTTGTTTAACTCAGCAACTTCTTTTCAAAATATACTTAAACCTGATAGCAATCTCTTGTAGCTCAGATAAAGAAGTTGGAAAGAAAGAAATTCAGACCTGTTGCAAGGAAAGAAAAAAAAAAAATCCCCTATCTGATTTCTGGAAAGTTTTGTTTGAAAAAGAAATAAAACAACGATAACACATTGCATTTCTGTTCTACCCTTTCTGCCCCGGATCTGGCATTCACCTACTGAACGTGCGCTTAACGAGCAGTGACCTGAAAGAAAAATCACAGCCGAACGCTATAGGCATCTCGCTTGAGATCTGGAGCTAAATACTGCCGTTCCCGCTTGGCTTTTTTTTGTTATTGTTGTTATTTTGGCTGGAGCCGCACAAAAACGCGCACCGGGACGTTACTACAAATAAAAGCTTTCCAGGTCCGAGTCTGCTGCCGGCGTTTCCTCCGGAGCCTTAACAGCCCTTTTTCAGTTCCTTTCTCGGGCAGATCGCTGGGATTAGATGCCCTGAACCTGAGCTCCTGGCCTTGGATGGGAAGGGAAAGAAAAAGGAAGAGGGAGAGAGAGAAAGGAGAGGGTGAAGGAGCCAGGCGCCCTCTGGGCTTTCCGAGGTCAGAGCTTTGACAGTGCTCTGACCTCTCTCCCCTCCCGGCAACCACCCCAGTGTTTATAAACAAAAACAGTCAGGACTAGCCCCAAACAATAGCAATTCACCAACTTCACAGGCACTTCACTAGCTCTTATGCAAATTAAGGAAAACGACCGCTTACCACCGCTCCCCCCCCCCCCCATCCCCTCCAGAAAGCCCAAGAGCATATTTCCAGCAGTGATATATCCAAGGGAAAAATTTTACGTTCTATCCTGGAAAAGGAGAAAAAGGGACTTCAGAAACAAAACGGTTCTGGTAGAAAGACAGACAAAAAGGGAGAAAAAGCCAATAAAACTAGCGATCTTACTGCAGAAAGAGGAAAGTTATGAAATATTTATACCTAAATCCAACAATCCACAGTGTCAATAAAACAGGAATATTTGTTGTGTAGACAATATGCTAAACTACCTCTGCGACAAATAGCAATTAGAAAGCAACCAGGAAAAGTTATTTTCGCCCAAGGAGCCAAGTTTTCAAAGAAAACGTGTGGATTTTACAGCTAAATAAAAGCCACCACCTCTGTGTTATCCGTAAAAACTACACATAAATTAAAAGCACAGTTAAAAGAAAAAAACCTTCCAGCAAGCAAGCAGCACATCTGATCTGACTTACAAAAAAGTATAATTAAAACCATCTTTAATTGCAAAAAGCAGCAAGCGAAAACTAAATGAATCAATGCTTTCTCCCCAAAATGTGGTCCGCCAGGGTATAGAAATGATAATTCTATAGTCCTGCAGTAAAGCGTAACTGAAACTCCACCGTTTAGCAATTGATTACGCGATAAG